GGGGGGGCGGGAGGGGGGCGGCGGGGCCGGGGCCCGGCGGCGGGGGCGGCGCGGTGACGCCGCTGTTCCCTCGCAGGGCTCCCCCCCGGCCCCGGCGGAGGCGGCGGGCGGCGGCGGGCGGGGGGACGGCGACGCCGAGCAATTGTCCGAGAAAAAGGCGCTGCGGAGCAAAAAGAGCCCCCCCGCCCCGGGAAAGGCGCCGGGAAGCAGAAAAGGTACAGCGGTGCCGGTAGAGTGCCCCACATGTCATAAAACCTTCCTCAGCAAATATTACCTTAAAGTGCACAACAGGTAAACGCTCCGACTTCTCCTTCCTCTTGCGCGCGCGGAGGATGCGCCGCCCCCGCGGCTCGGTCCCTTCCCGGGGGGGAAAGGGCGACCACAGTTTTGCCAGCTGGTCCCAACGCCATTCCTCGGGATGGAAAGGAGGGTCCCCTCTGTCCCTGGGGGTGCTCTGACCTGTGGGAGGGATTATATGTCTCTGAAACATATCAGAGCTGCAGTGACTGTCCTGGGCTGCGGCTCAGGAAGGCGGCAGTGGGGGCTCCTCAGGGGCTGTGCTGGCTGCAGGTGGGCAATGGCAAATCGTCCTTGTAGGCTGTCAGATCAGCCCGGGCTGGGCTGGATTTCGGGGGCTGTGGGGAACATGTAGCCGAGCTCTGTGAGGATCTCTGGGCTGGATCTCTGAAAGCAGGGCAGGGCCCTGCCCTGAGTTCTCGAGTTTCACTTCAGTCCTGTGTGGGGGCAAACCTTGGCCCTGCAGAATCAAGATTCTGCGGAGCGCAGTGGGCACTGACAGTCTGACCATGCTCTGAGGGGCCCCGAAAGTGGCATAAAAGCAGCTTTAGGGTGACTGTGAATAGTGGCACTGGGGGGACATGGGCAAGAACCTGCCTCACCTTTCCCTGTGTCCTCTCACACCTGTCTGTGCATTTGCTGTTGGACAGGCAGTGATGGGGTTCTCCATTTGTATCCCCCCAGGAAACATACTGGAGAGAAGCCATTTGAGTGTTCCAAGTGTGGCAAATGTTACTTTAGAAAAGAGAATCTCATGGAACATGAAGCCAGGAACTGCATGAACCGATCAGAACAGGTACTCCCAGGAGCTGCCCCACTGGGCTGGAGTGCAGCTGCCATCCATCAGGAAGGGAACTGGAGCCTTTTCCGAGCCCCAGGCCATGCTCAGCTCTGAACAGACACCTATCAGCACCACATGGCACACATTCCATAGCCAGGGCCCCTGGGGCTGGGACCCCCATGGCTGGGACCAGGACGGCATCAGCTTGTGCCCGATGTGCCCAATGTGTGTTCCAGCGTGCCAGGACACTCTGTGCTGCACGAGACGCGGGTCCTGCGGGTGCAGGCTGAGCGCTGTGCCACGTGCCTGGCAGGGGCTGGGCCGCGGGCTCCGGGCTGGGCTCTGGCTCCTGCAGAAGCTGATCCCGCCCTGTCTCTCGTAGGTGTTCACGTGCTCAGCGTGCCCGGAGGTGTTCAAGCGGCGGATGGAGCTGCGGCTGCACATGGTGTCACACACCGGGGAAATGCCATACAAGGTGAGCAGTGCCGGCATCCGGCATCCCCGTGGATGCTGCTGGACACTGGCACAGAGTGGGAGTGAGCGTTTGCCTTCTGGGGCAGCCTGGCCCAGCCCATCGGGGAGCTGAGCCCTCCAGCTTCCTTCCCCCGTCTGTGACAGCCCACTAAGGGTCATTCCCTGTCTCTGAGCTGGAACGTGCTCCAGGGAGACACCACAGCCACCTGCTTCCTGCAGCTGTACGAGGAATCTGTTCTGCTCCCCCACTGGTCCTCCTTGCTCTGTAACCACTCTTTGGGGGCAACTGGAAGCTGACCTCCCTCTCTTTTCTCGCAGTGCTCCTCATGCTCGCAGCAGTTCATGCAGAAGAAGGATCTGCAGAGCCACATGATAAAGCTGCATGGTGCACCCAAGCCCCACGCGGTAGGGACCACGGTATCGGGGAGGGGATGATCCTGCACACACACCTGACCTAGGGAATAGTGCCCATGGCCCGTCTGGCTCTGTTAGTGAGGCAGGGGGACACAGAGCTGCTGGAAACAGGCTTTTTTGTGTACAGGAGCAGCTGATAGACCTGAGCACTGACCAGCATTTTGCCTCTTGGGCTGTCCCATCTCACTGGGTGTCTCTGAGGCCAGGGGTGCTGCTGTGGCTGCCGCAGGAAGGGCCCTGGAGCAGCCAGGGGAGTGCCAGGTGTTGGGCACAAGTGGGTCTGGTGTGGGTGTACCCTAACCCCCCTCTCCTGTGGCCTTGCAGTGCTCAACCTGCTCCAAGTGCTTTCTGTCCCGGACAGAGCTGCGCCTGCATGAGGCCTTCAAGCACCGTGGAGAGAAGCTGTTTGTGTGTGAGGAGTGCGGGCACAGGGCCTCGAGCCGCAATGGCCTGCAGATGCACATCAAGGCCAAGCACAGGTACGATGTGACCCACGTCCTCCCTTATGTCACCCTGCCTCTTCTGGCTGTGCTCCCTCCCCTATGGGACTGGGGGTTGGCTGAAGGGAGTGCTCCCTTCCCGGAGGTGCTGGGCTGAGACCCGAGGGGTTGAAGCCGGTGGAGGGAGAAGTCACGGTGGGTTTTCCCTGCCCACAGAAACGAGCGGCCCTATGTGTGTGAGTTCTGCCACCACGCCTTCACGCAGAAAGCCAACCTCAACATGCACCTGCGCACACACACTGGCGAGAAGCCCTTCCAGTGCCACCTTTGCGGCAAGACCTTCCGGACACAAGGTACCCCTGGGTGCTGCTGGGGCAGGTCATGCCAAGCGCCATGCTCTGGCATCCAGGACCTCCAGAAAGCGGCTTCCCCAGGAGCAAAGCCATGCTCTTGTGAGTGCAGGCTGACACCAAGTCACCTCCACTGCCCTCGTGGCACAGAAGGGGAACAAGCTGGTGTTTCCCATGGAGCTTATGCTGCACTTGCCTTTCTGGCCCAGTTGCTGGGATGGGGGGCACGTGCCATGCCACTGACTGGCTGCTCTCCCCCTCTCTGCCCCTGATAATGGCAGCGAGCCTGGACAAGCACAATCGGACGCACACCGGCGAGCGGCCCTTCAGCTGTGAGTTTTGTGAGCAGCGTTTCACGGAGAAGGGGCCGCTGCTGAGACACATCGCCAGCCGGCACCAGGAGGGGCGGCCCCACTTCTGCCACATCTGCGGGAAGACGTTCAAAGGTAACGCTGGGGCTCCGGCTTTCGCAGGGCTCCACAGGAGCCGCCTCCTTCCCGCGGGCAGCTTGGCATCACTGCGAGCAGGTACAGTGTGGAGCTGCTGCCCACGGGCTCTCACTTCCCTTCCCAGCAGTGGAACAGCTGCGCGTCCATATCCGCCGGCACAAGGGCGTGAGGAAGTTTGAGTGCACTGAGTGTGGCTACAAGTTCACGCGGCAGGTGAGCCCTTCCCCAGCTCTGGGGCCTCTGGGCTGTGCCAGGGAGCCGGCCCTCACCGGGCCCCTCTGCACGTCCCTTCCTTCACAGGCTCACTTGAGGCGCCACATGGAGATCCACGACCGCGTGGAGAACTACAACCCACGGCAGCGGAAGCTGAGGAACTTGATCATCGAGGACGAGAAGGATGTGATGGTGGTGCTGCAGCCGCCACCAGAGCTGGAGGTGGGCTCGGCCGAGGTGATTGTGGAGTCACTGGCCCACAGGCCACTGCCTGAGGAGGTTCCTGCGCAGAGACTGTGCTCAGATAACTTCTCCACGGCGGATGTGATTGAGCAATCTCTGATTATAACGACAACGATTCCTGAAGACTGTGAGACGTAGTGCAGCCACCCTTCCACTGAAACACAGTAAAGTCTTGGGCTGAGCCAATCTCTGCCACACTTGTTCTTTCGAGTTGTGCATCCGTCCCCTCCCCTTCTTCCCTGCCAGTCTCTCACCCCAGACTACAGGGAAGTCACCATGATGATGTGATTGAGTGTCAAATGAAGAAATGGTGCAAAAGGGCCACTCCAGTCAGTGCCTGTGCGCCGTGCAGGGGGATTGGACTGACCTGCTTGTGTCATACTGTGAATCACTTTCTGACACCAGAGGAGCTGGTGCTGGAGGAGCCCCTTTCCTCCAGCCCTCTTACCCTGCTCCTGATTAAAGATTAAAGCTCAGCTTCCCCCAGAGAGAGCAGCTCTGTCCTTTCCTTTAACGCATGTGAAAGGATTGTTTCCTCCGTTAAACTTGTGCCTTATTTCTCCTTTATTTTGTCAAGCTTCTGTCAGTTGCTGTTTCTCTCCCCCATTACAGGTGGGGCAGGACCTGTGTCTGCTCAGCATTGAGATAATGGAGCTGCAAGTTCACTTGAAACACACTTCAGCAGCCACACAGTGCCTGAGCTCCTGTGGTCAGGGGTAGGGACTTATCTCTGTCCCAAATAACATGATCCAGGGTTGCTGGGGGAGTTATAACCATTCCTGAGTGGTGCCAGGGTGGGAGAGATCCCTGTGTGTACCCTCACCTCCAGAGTCTCAGCCCTGCTCTCTCCACCTTCCCCCTCTACTCAGCAAGGAGGCAGAGAGGCTCTGTTTTAAGCGTACCCAGAATGAGACAGTCCCACTAAAATTTCACTCCAGGCCCTTTCCCTTCGCAGACGACAGAATTGTGTAACAGGTTTTATTTAACTTGACAGCTGCAAGTAAATTTAAAAACAAACTATGAGAATAAAAATACATTATCTGCAAATGTAAAATGCCTTTGTTTCAAAGGATGGAGTTCAACTGTACTGGAGGATTCAACACAATGAATTCTACAAAAAATAAATAGTTATCTGTAGCTGCTCAGCGGGTGGGGTTGGGGGTCCAGCAGCGAGCACTATTTATAGCTCAGCAGAAATACCTCGGGCTGCAGCACTGTCCAGCTCCGCAGGCACGGCACAGCACGGACAGGCTGCTCCCAGAAAAGCAGCAGATGCCCCGAATTGCAGGCCCCAGTGTCCCCCCGCCAGGCTCTGCCCACAGGGGCCCACGGGCTGCACCCCGGCGCGTGGTCTCAAGGCACTGTCAGTGTTCCAGACTGAGGAACAGCGTGGGTTCCCCCGGCTGAGGAGTGCAGTGGTCGGGTATGTGGGCTTTCCATCTCCGAATTCAGTTTAAAATACAGACTTCTCCTCTATTGGTTAAAAATAAAAGACCAAAAAAGCAAATGCATCCAGCTACGCCTGAGCTGCTGTCACACTTCAAGGTTCTCCTGAAGATGTGACACTCACTCCTGGGGAGTTGTGCCACAGGTTCGGCCTCTGCTTGTTCCAGAAACATTCCACAAATAAACCACGCAGCTGCTCTTCAGCAAAGGTAGATAAACAGCCCACCTGGTCAGGGCACTTGGGCAAGTATAAAGGCAAATCTTACACAGGCCAAAAAATATGCAAACCCCAAACAAAAAGAAGAAAAAAAACCCTAAAATAACTACCTTTCAATCCCAACACGTGCACAGAAAGCTTGTCTCCCTCTGAGGCACAGAACAGAGGGGGGGTCCAGACCACTGTCTTACCAGACAGACCCCTCCCAAAAAAGAAACTGAAGGAAGCAGTTTGGTGGCAAACAAAGTATTATGGGGTGAAGGAGCTCCCAGTGAAAGGTGTCTGGTCACAAGCTGTCAGTGGTGGTGCTGTGGTGTGGGTCAGTGCGATCATTTTCCCCGGGGATGTCGGGTCCCTGCAGGCAGCAAAGGGCTGAGGGAGCAGCAGAGGCCTCACTGCCTGCGGTCACACAGCAGCACATCCAACAGCCAGAGTTCCCATTCCCTCTGTGATCAGTACGGTTTTGTTTCCAAGCACTGGTTTGCCTCAGCCTTCTCCCGAAGCAGCCCAGGTTCTGGATGAGGGACTTATGTCAGGCTGCTTCCTGTGCTAAGGCAGTTCATTGAGGTTCTGGTTGTGAAGGTTTTGGGTCTGCCTGCTCAAGCTGATGGTGTTGTCCAGCGTGATGCTGTCGTCCTCCTGTGGGGTTTCTGGCATGAACTGCCGGAATATGCTGACGCTGCCGTGCCAGAAGATGGGCTCGGGCAGCCGGCCCACCACGCTCCACATTCGTGTCTCAGGGTCATAGGCTTCCAGGACATCTGAGAGTTCAAATGTGTTATCATAGCCCCCGGAGACATAGAGCTTCCCGCCAAGCACGGCCACACTTCCCCCAACGTGAACCTGCAAAGTAACAATAAATACACACCACAATCAGGGGTGTTTGCCCAATCTGGCAGCTGACTGAAGGGGTGGGTGCAGTCTGGTGGGTGCTGCTCCTTGGAGGAGGTTCCATGTCCCCCAGCGGCAGCTCAGGCTCTGAGGCAGCACTGCCCACAGCTCTCACGTGCTGGGCTGAACACCCGGACATGCTGCCACATTCAGGACTTTGTTCTCCCCATGACTCCAGTACATTTAAACCTACTCCACGTGCAAGGGGTTCTGATCAAAAGAGCTCTTCATTTTCCAAAGGTAAATGAAACCCATTTGTAATACTTAAGGCACCCTGGAGGATGGAAAATGTCCTACCTGAAGCATGGCAGGGATTTTATCCCACTCATTCTTTGCTGGATTGTAAACATCCACTTCAGCCGAGTCGTCTCTGGGGAAGAGAACACAAAATTACTCTTCTGCATTCTAGAAACTCTGCTCAAGTTCTTCGCCAATGCCAAATTTAGGTGGGTGGGATGAGAGAAGAGCTAGAGGGACATCATAATCCCCCAAGGCTTCTCTCACCCGCCCCACTTGCCAGACAGGAGGGCGACAGTGACAGGTGAGGGGGGTTTGCGACGCAGAGACACTGACACAAGAATGTGAGGAGGACAAGGTCAGGGCAGCTGAAGAGGAGCTGTCAGTCCTTCCAAGACAGTTCTGGTACAGACAGAATCGAGAGGTTGTGAGGCAGCTCCAGGCAGGGCCGGCTCCAGATCGGCTCTAGGGTGGCTGCAGAGAATGCCTGAGCCTCACTGCTGTGCTACATTTACTGGTATAAAACAGTCCCAGCACAAGGGATCATCACTCAGAGGCTTTAGCCTAAGCTATTAAAACAAACCAAAAACTGAATTTGCCATTTCTACTTGTTACCTATTCCTCTGCCCTCCAAAGATTATCCCATAGCTCTACATGGAGCAGCAGCCCATGCACAGCACATGAAATGAGGGGAGAACACCTGACCCCGATCATCTCCTCACTGACTCCTGCAGATGTACAAGTGATCCGAAATCCTGAACTGTCAACCATCAGTATTTTAAAGGGGTAAGAAAAAGGAAATTCTATGGAATCAGCTTGTGACAAAGAGTTGAACAGCTGCAACACCCCGGCAGGACAAACTGAAACCAGGTGACTCAAAGAGATGCCAGCAAGACACTTAGCTGGACCCAAAGGGATCAAATAAAAGGTCTTGGGCCAAAGCTGCTGCTTTATGCAAAGCCAAGAGGAGATTAAAAAAAGAGAAGTGGCTGGAGGCCCTCACAGAAGTCTCTGTTTGCTCAGAGTCAACACAGGGAGGGAGATGAACGCTCCAGCCCTAGCATGCCTTCCCGTTTATTTTTAATTAAGCGGATAACTGAAGTATCTGCGCCATCAGGACAGCTTCAGATGGGTAATTAAGTCCCAGTTTGGAAAGGCACTTAAAAATAGTGACCAATCACTTCATCTTCAGCCTTCTTATCGCTGCTGAGACGGAAGATGTCCTCTCCTGTGCTACAGTTTAATGTTTTCTTGGAGCTTATGTGCTTATTTATAGCAGCGAGGGGGGCTGAACCAGGAGCCAAGGAATCCGAGAAGCCAATTTCCAAGCAGCGCTGCTGACTTCAGCCAGATTTACACCTGGCTGTTCCCCAGTCCGAGGTTACACTCAGACATTTTTACACAATTTTAAGGGTAGCCCCACCAGTACCATCAGGGGAAGCACTGCAGTGCTGTCCCAGCACAGTGCCCTCCCTCCAATACCTCCAAAATCCCACACACCTTCCCAGGGAAGCTCCAGGCCCTCCCCACGGGGACATGGGAGGGAGGTGATGGCTCCCACTACTCACCTTATGAAGTACATGAGGCCGTTGAGCGTGACAGTTTTTGGGGCAAAGGACCAGGGGGGCAGGTGGCCGCAGTTGACAAGGGACCAGAGGTCGCTGTCGGGATCGTAGCACTGCATGACCATGGACTCTTTTCCAGCCAGGGAGCCGATGGCGAACAGCTTCCCGCGGCACGAGGTGGTGGAGCAGTTGTCCATGGGGTACAGCATGGGCTGCAGGGCTTCCCAGCTGTCCAGCGTGTGGTCGTAGCGCTCTGTGCTGTCAGAGGCAACTACGTAGAGCAGTCCATCCAGGACTGTGGAGCTGTGGTATTCCCTGGCTTTCAGCATGGGCGACACCTCCGTCCACTCGTTCACGCTGGAATTGTACCTCCAGACGCAGTCGTACAGCCTGGACCCGTCTGAGCCCCCTGTGGCACAGCACGACACGTGTCAGAGCCGGGCTCTGCACAGCCAAGGGCGACGGTGGAGAGCACTTGGCTCGGCACCAGCACCTTTCCTACAGCTGCAGCTACACCTTCCGCACACAGCCCCTCCTGCAAGTTTTGCACTGTTTCCAGCAAGCCAGGAAGGATTTCTCCCACGTCCTCCCTAGTCCATACTCAGCCACGAATCAAAATGAGTCTCCCAAGTTTCACCACCTCCATCCTCTAAACTCCCGCTTCTCTCCCATTTTGTGGCCCCTGCTCCATTGCTGCCCAGAAGCTGCTGAGGCAGCAGCACTAACGGCAGCTTGGGAACCTCCTGGCCCTGCCTGCAACACACTGACACTAAGCAGAACGACCCAAGATCCCCAGCAGCAGCCTCGCACATGGCTCTTGGCAGGACTGGTCTCCACAGACCCACCAGGGATCACTCCAAGAAGCTCCCAAGGGATGTAAGGGCATCTGTACCAAACAAGCCATTTTTACGACCCTGCCCTTAAAGCAGAGCCTTGTTTTCTGCTTGTGACTAAAGAACACAGAGTTTTCTGATCAACTGCGTAAGACCTGTCCTTCAAAACTCTGCCAGCATGTCCTGCACACCCAGGGCATGCTGTTCCACCGCGCCTGGTTTCCTGGGTTTGTTACAGCTGCTGCTCCAGCTATGGGGATGTAGTTCAAAGGAGGCATCTGCATACAGATTAACAGCTGAATTTATACATTGGTGTCACCTTGACAGAAGTAATTGTAGCCCCAGCGGACTGCAAGGAGGCAGGATTTGTGCAGAGGAAGGTACTGTGACTCACGGGGGCTGGCTAAGGAACCCGGGGCTTTCTGACACACCTATGCCTCAAGCAAGTGGCCTGGCTTGTGATTCACAGGGCTCTGAAACCAAACACCTTCTTCACAGATAGAAACTCAAAACCCTCTTAAAGTAACCCATATCCCCCAGAGTGACAGTTAGAAAATTCTAACTACAAGATCTGTGACTTCTGCCCACGTGCTCAGCAGCATTAGTCATGACAAAATAGCTCCTGGACTGAGACCAGCTGCTAAATCCAGCACCAACTCCAGAAGTCTCTGTGCCTGCCAGCAGGCTGCAGACACCCAAGCTGAGTCCCAAACTCCCTGCTTCCCAGGAAAGGCCAAGTCTCACTGCTAGAACCCACATATTTGAGAGGAATCTGCACCCTAGCGGGTACCCTCACGCCCTGTGTGCCTTACCAGTGACATAGATGTCGTTGCCCAGCGCAGCAACGCTGTAGCCCCCGCCCAGGTGCTCGGGGAACTCGGCCAAGTAGCGCCAGTGGCCGGTGCGGGGGTTGTAGCAGTCGACGGTGACGAGCTCGTCACAGTCGCGGTCGCAGCCGCCAACGAGGACGAGGATCTCAGCGAGGCCGGTGGAGGGCCGGGGGCGCATGCGGGCGCAGGGCCCCCGGTCGTGGCGGTCGAGACGGGCAGCCTGGAAGTCACGGGCCTCACGCAGGAGGCGCAGGCAGGGCGGGCAGCGGGCCACCAGCGGCTCGCTCTCCACGTGGGCCAGCAGGTAGAAGCGGCGCACAAAGGGCAGGCGGACGTGGGCCAGGAGCTGGGGTAGCAGCGGGGCGCGGGTGGCGGGGTCGGCGCGCACCCAGCGCAGCGCCAGCTGGAAGGCGGCCTCCTCCTTGGGGACGCAGAGCCCGTCGTCCCGCAGGTAGGAGAGGAGGCGCGGCAGCGGCAGCCGCTCCAGCTGGGCGCCCAGCTCACCCACGTGCCGCAGCACGAAGCGGTGGGCAGCAGCCGCCAGTGCCGGGCACGCAAAGGCTTCGGCGAAGTCCTGCATGTCCAGGGCGTTGGCGGGCTCCAGCTGCCGTGCCAGCCAGGCGCCGCAGGCCTCCTTGACGGCGGGGAACTGCAGCAGGTCGGCGGCGCGCAGCAGGCGCTCGGCGATGTCGGGGCCCAGCCGGCCCACGCGGCCGGTGTACGCGAAGTCGAGCAGCCGCGCCAGGCACTCGGGCTCCACGCCGTGCAGCCGCACTCGCTCGGCCCGCGCCTCGCGCAGGGCCCCGCCGAACATGGCGCGGAAATATCCCGAGGCCGCGGCCAGGACGGCGCGGTGAGCCCCGAACTCCCGCCCGCCGGCCACCACCGTCACGTCCAGCAGGCTCCGCTCGGCCCGCAGCGCGCTCAGACCCCGCAGCAGCGACACCGCGTGCGCCGGTTCTCCTGCCGCCGAGGCCGCCGCCGCCGCCGTCCCGCCGGTGCCCGCGCCGGTCGCCATGCCGTGCCTGCGGGGAGCGCACCCGGGTCAGCGCGGAGCCGCTGGAGCCGATCCCCAGCAGGCTCCCGGGGCGGGAAAGGGAAACCGGGGAAGGAGGCGGCGGGCGGGCTCGGGGAGCCCGTCCCGTGCCGGTCCCGGCCGACAACCCCCGGGTGCGGCCGCTGCGTAACGCGGCACCGCCTCCCCCAGCGCGGCCCCGCTCGGGCCGGTCCCCGGGTCCCGCAGCTCCGCAGCCACCCCGCTCAGCCCCGTGCCCCCAGCCCCGGGCTGGCCCCCAGCGGGAGCCGCCCGACGGCAGCGCAAAGGCAGCGGGGCGGCCCCGAGAGCGGGCGGCACCGCCGGAGCCCCGCTCTGAGCACGGCTCCGGGCGCCGCCGTTACCGCGGGCGGCAGGGCCGGGCCCGGCCCGGAGCCGAGGCTCCCGCGCCCTGCCCGGCCCGTCCCGTCGCCGCCCGTCCCACCGCCGCCACCAGCCGGGCCCCGCGGTGAGCACAGAGCCGCCACCTCCCTCTCGGGCCCGCGCCCGCCGCCACCCGGTGAGAACCGCCCCGGCGCCCCCGGGCCCCGCTCACCGCTCCGCTCTTCGCCCCGCTCCCCGCTCCGCTCCCCGCTCCGTTCGCCGCTGCCGGCGCCGCCCCCGCCCC